GTGGGGACTGTGAACTCACTCGTGGGGGATTGTGAATTCACTCACTCATGATGGGGGCTGTGAACTCACTCACTGGTGATGAGGAGAGCCGTGAATTCACTCACTTGTAGTGGTGTCTCGGGAATCTTTCGCAGAGAGAGACATGGGACACCAAGTTTTCTTTGCCAGGAAGCAGCGTTTATTCTAACTGGCATCCAACACAATAGGGCATTGCCTTACATACCTTTGTTAACTTCCCCTTTACATTGTAACCCCTTTGTCTCTCTTACAAGGCAACAATTTTTGGTATTATACATTTGATTGGATACTTCATAGCTCAGGGCTACAGTGAGCCCTACTTGTCATACATTGATTGCTTTTTCATAATCTTCTCATTTACATGTCCTATTTGCAGATTGGCTCACAGGAGTACTCTTCTGATTGGTTCCCACCAAAAGTGTAAACATGTAGTCTGCCAAAGTAAAAGCCTAAGAAAGTGGTAGCTCGAAGAAGCAGGAGGTAACTTGTTTTCCCTTTTCTTGCTCCTGCATTTTCAGAAGGGCACCTACCTCAGTGGGGGGATCGTGAATTCACTCACTCGTGGTGGGGGCCGTGAATTCACTCACTTGTGGTGGGGGCCGTGAACCCATCATGGGTGCCAGCTGTTGTGAGTCCATCTTATGGAAGGTGAAGCTGTCCACAGGTACAACAGGCTCGCCTGGCAAAGGGTGCGGCTGTGCTCAGTGTCCAGCTAGCCCGCAGGCTCCATAGGAGCTCAGGAAACCCCCTGCCATCTCCCAAACCTTGGGTGACGCTGCTCCCATGAGCCCCTACCCACCTTTGCCGTCAGGAGTCCAGAGGTCATGCGGCACTAACACAAGCGTGTCCGGGGCAGGGACAGAAGGAGCTCTGGGCAGTGCTGGTCCAGCCCGTCCAGCCCATCTTCCTTCAGCAGCAAGGTCCAGGATGGGCTCTTCTCTCCCACGACTGGCCCCAGGGCCTCCCAGACCCTCAACTGGGCGAAGCTGCTTCTCAGAGGGGTGTGATCTACAGAGATGGAACTCTGACCTGGAGGCCTGCTATGGGTGTCACCTCCCAGGGCGGTTAAGCATCTTCCTGTTCAAAGTCTCCAGGGAAACATTCCCCCAGGAGATTTCGAGGCCACATCATACTCCTCTCCCCAGGACCTCCTGATGGTCAGTCAGTCTCTCCAGGGCCCCCCGATGGTCAATCTGTCTCCCCTGGGCCATTCGATGGCCGGTCAGTCTCCCTTGGGCCCCCCAATGGTTGGTCAGTGTCAGGTTCTCCCAGGCCTCCCCGATGGTCAGTCAGTCTCCTCAGGGCCTCCCAATGGTCAGTCCTGTCTCACCAGGGCCCCCCAATAGTCCCACAACAAAGTCTTGGGGGAAAAAGAGTCCTGGCCGGGCTCAATAGTTCATGCCTATAAACACAGCACTTTGGGAGACCGAGACCCCATGGGTTCGAGACCAGTCTGGGCAACTTGGCAAGACCTCATCTCTACTATAAATAAAAAAATTAGCCATGCGTGGTGGTTTGCACCTGTAGTTCTAGCTACTTGGAAGGCTGACGCAGAAGGATTGCCTGAACCCAGCAGGTCGTTGCTGTGGTGGCCACGAGCATGCCAGTGCACTCCAGCCTGGTCGACAGAGTGAGACTCCAACTCAAAAAGAAAAAAAAAAAAAAGTCCTGCCCCCACTGTCTCACTCTTTGATATGTCACAAACACACACCAGTGAAGACCCTTCCACACGTGACCTTTAAGGGGGACGCATGCTATGCTCCCCCATGTGGGGATAGTGGCGTTTACCAAAGCGAATCTGCCAGGTATTTTATTGCCAATGTTGGCTATTATTATTATTATTTTTTTGAGTTGGAGTCTCACTCTGTCACCCAGACTGAAGTGCAGTGGCCGCTCCCGGCCACCACAGCCTCGACCTGCTGGGCTCCGGCGATCCTTCCGCCTCAGCCTTCCGAGTAGCCAGAATTACAGGCACGTGCTACCATGTCCGGCTGATTTTTTTATTTTATTGTAGAGATGAGGTCTCGCCAAGTTGCCCAGGCGGGTCTCGAACCTGCGGGCTCAGGCACTCCACTCACCTCAGCCTCCCAAGGCGCGGAATTACAGGCTGAGCCACTGAGCCCGGCTGGCTATTACTTTTTAAGGCTGTAATAAACAACCATGTAGCCAAAACACAGCATATATCCTTATTCCTTAGAGAAAGTCCCAGGAGTGGAATTACTAGGTCAAAGGGGACACACTGTTTCAAGACTTTTGATAAAAACTCCCAAATAAACACTCCCTCTCTCTCTCCATCCTCTTCCTCTCCCCCCCCCCACTTTTTTTGAGTTGAGGGTCTCACTCTGTTGCCCAGGCTGGAGTGCATTGGCACAATCACAGCTCACCACAGCCTTGACCCCCTGGGCCCAGGAGATCCTTCCGCCTCAGCCTCCCAAATAGCTGGGACTACAGGTATGTGCCACCACACCCAGTTTTTACTTTATTTTATTATTTTATTTGAGATGAGGTCTCATCATGTTGCCGAGGCCTCAAACAATCCTCCTGCCTCGGACTCCCAAAGTGTTGGGATTATAGGCATGAGCCCCCGCACCCTGCTCCCTCTCTAGCGCTAAAAAAAAGCCTATTTTCTTTGCCTCACTTGAATGAGATCCACAACTTCTGATAAATTACAGCCTAGAGTTGAAAAGACCCCTGTCTGCTGACCCCTGAGGGGGCCGAAATGAGTCGGTGTAGAAACAAAAAACTGCTGATCCGGCCCACCAGATGGCGCTCTTGCCTAAGAGTCCAGCATCAACTTCGGGGCAAGGCGTTCTAGGGTTTCCTTCGAGGTGCACGGGGATGTCTGGCACTCAGGTGTGTCAAAATCAACTTGCAGGAGCAGTCCAGGATGCTATTTTGTGAACACCGAGCAGAACCGTCCACGGGTGTGGAAACACTCGTGGGATGTCGCTCCTGCCTGGGAGGCACCACCACCCCCGGCTCCTCCCTCACCAATCCTCACCTTCCCGGGGTGCTCAGCCCAGGCACCACCCAGGAAGGTCGACAGAACTTCCTGGTCCCAGCCACCGGCTCTCCTGCTCCCAGTGGTGCCCTGGGTTCATCATGGCTGCCATTGGACACAGCCGAGGACGATTGGTTGGTTGCCGTGTCGCTGGAGAAGGGTGGCAGATGATTAAAACACCAGATACGGGGGGCCCAAAGACGGGCTTCCAGGCCATCAGATGGCCGGACCAGTGACATAACTGCTGAGCCTCTGCTTCTGCATCTAAGAAATGGTTCTGGGAACCGGCCCCTGTCCTGTGAGGTGACCCAGTAAAGCCTGGTCAACAATCGGGCTACACAGTTGGGAAGGAGGAGGCCTCTGGTCAGGCGGCATTCTCTGGAAATGCAGGGGAAGAACCAGCACAAGACCCCCTGGCTTCGCCCGCTGGCAAGGCCAAGACATCACCGGCTAATATTTGTGTGACCTTTCGCTTCCTCTGATTCTGCCACTGGGGCTGCAGAGACCACAGGCGGCTTCCCCGCTGCGGATGAGCAGCCAGGTGTGGGGGGCGTGGAAAGCTCAGGTCCTCAGCAGAGCCCCCCCCCCCCAGACGGATGCCTCGGGATGATGGGGGGAGCCTGACCACCCCTTCCACGGTGATTCGTCAGAACTCAGCTGGTCTTGCTGGGAACGCCTGGCTCCACAGCCTCAGAAATCTTGCCCTGGGGTGGCCATACCATGGCCTTCCCAGCAACCCCCAGCTTTCCGCTCGTTCGCAAGCCTTCCTGAGGACACATTAGGACCCAGGCTGAGGAAACAAGGGAATGGTTGGTGGGGTGGGGACACACCAAAGCTCTTCCTGGCTCGGCCCCACCCCTGGACTGAGGTCTTTCAATCAACTCCCAAGTAGGCAGGATTCCTCCCTGTTTCCAGGCCTGGGTGACAATGGTCGCCCTGCACCCCTCCCCTGGCCACCCCTACCTCTCAGGCCTCCTTTCTGAAGATGCCTCTCCCACTCCCCAGGAACAAGCTAAAGCCCCTTCACCCTAAACCTGCCTTTGAATTCCCTCGCTCGAGTTGGTGGGAGTGGGGTTCTCATTCTTGCTCCTGGAGAACCCCCATTTTGTTGCTTGAACTGAGTCTATGAAGACGGCTGGTGTCCGAAAGCCTGTGCTAGTGCTGTCTCTGAGTGTCCCAGATCATTGGTCTTTGGCAAGATTCCCCTGGGGATAAAATGGGAATTTCTGAGCTGGGGAGTGGGCTCAGAACGTGGCCTGGTTCTTCCCTCCCCCTCAGCTCGTAGCTCCCTGTCCCTGCCAGAGCTGGACTACAAGCTACCCAGCGGGCATCCTTTCATTCCTCCCAGATACCCCATGGGCAGACAGGGGCTTGGGTTCCCTTCAGGGGGTGGGGGACACCCCCCAAACCCCACCCTTCCCGAGTCTTGGCCTCAGGCCGGTCCTTGCACGAGGCCTGCTGCCAGGCTGGACTGGCGGATCCCGAGCGGTTGGGGGGAAGGAACGGGTGGTGGGGCGACCTGATCGTCCGACTCTGCCCCGGCCGCACGGGAGAACGGGCCGGGGCGACGCGGGAACTGAAGGGGAGGCTGCGGGGTTGTACTCCCCGCCGGAGCGGGGGGACCTAGGCCTCCGGGGACCACGTGGAGCAAAGAACAGCCCGCCAGGCTCTGCGGGACGCCGCACGTGCTCCGCGCCCGGCGGAGAGGGCGTGCCCTGGGGGCGTGGCCGAGCGGGCGGGCAG